AGGGAAGTCCACTATTTCAGAATGATAAACGTCACTGGGCGTTGGCAGAGAAACTGGCAGATGACTTAAAATTCAACTGGAAAACAGATAAAAATAGGAAAATACTGAGTACAAACTATGTGGATGTGAAGATATAACATACAGCAGAATGGGTTGTTGACTGTTTCTTTAATTTCGGGCAAAAGTTCCTGTGATGTTATGAGCCAGAAAGCTCTTGAGCTCCAATACCCAGCATGCAATGGGGCGCGTGGCGTCACGGGTTGGAGGCTAGAGCAAGAGGGGCGTTCTGAATGTAGCTTGCTACTGAAAGGTTCTTTGGAAGTTTGAAAATAAATATACAGAACAAGTTTACATGCCTCGTCTGTTCTATATAGAATCGAAGAACAACACAGTTCCAAAAATCTTTTGAAGATTTCGAAAGACTTTCGAAGATCAGTGTGGTCTGCACCTGCCTCCTCGAGCTGGGCACAGAATAAACGTCTCTGAAAACTCCTGACCCGAACAGAACAAGCGATCTTCATTGCGACGTCCATGACATGCTTCATATTTAAAATACTGCCACACAGCTGTTGCTGAATGATGCAGCGGTTGATCCAAAAATCCGGGAAAGCTTCAGACAGCTTCAACAGAGCAACGAATCCAGCAGTGCGCCCAACCATAGATGGAGCCCCATCAGTTGTGATAGATGTCATTATCTCATTATCTCTTCAGATTTCTCTTCGCGCTTTAGAGTTCCTGGTAACCTAGCAACCGTGGCAAACCATGCTCAGCAATCAGCATGCATAAAAAAAGGTTCCCTGCATACTTTTTACTTTTCATTTTATTATTGTGAAAACAGACGTTGACCTCTCGTGATCAATGATTAGATTAGTGTTTTTTTTTTACTTTTTTTTTCTCTTTTTGTCATGGCCATAAATAGGTCTACATTGTAAAACATCTCGCGATCGACTGAAACTACACCCGCGATCGACTGAAACTCCACCCGCGATCGACTGAAACTCCGCCCGCGATCGACTGAAACTCCGCCCGTGATCGACTGGTAGATCGCGATCGACTGGTTGGGCACCCCTGATTTAAAGGATGCAACTGGATGCAATGATTGAGCTTCTGGTGGTTCATTAAGAGGAACCAGTTTCAATGAGATAGATATTCAGTGTTTCATACTGATTGTCCTTCAGAAACAAATACATTTTTTGCAGGTTTCTGCATTTTGCACTCTGACCCTATAAACAACGTTAAAACAAAGTTTGAGTATTTTACAAATCTACCTGCTCTTTGCAGTAAATTGATTCACAGCAGATCTTTGGATAGCAGCTAGTATCTGTTTTATAAAAAAAAAAGCCATCACAATTTTAGAGACATTCTTCTTCATCATTTAGAGTTCTGTTGAAGGTTAATTTTTTCTAAACAAGTAAAGCATGTTTTAAATCAATGTTCATTTGTCAT